GCAAAATGACATAACCTTGTCAATCTCTTTGACACATACGCACTTGTTACATTCATTGATCCTAAACTCATTTGACAACATAGCGTTGTCAAACTTCTCATACCATTGTTTAGGAGCTTGCTTTAAACCACACAATGACTTGACAAGCTTACAGACTTTCTTATTTTGTCTTGGAGCTGAAAACCCCTCGGGTTGCTCTATGTAGATTTTTTCATTTAAATCTTCATTTAAGAAAGTTGTCTTTACATCCATCTGATGTATTTCTAGACCACATAAAGCTACTATCACAATCACTATACGAATGGATGTAATCCTTGTTATAGGTGAATACGTATCATAGTAATTTAGGCCTTCTCGTTGCCTATATCCTTTGATAACTAACCTAGCTTTGTACTTATCAATTGATACATCGGTTTTCATCTTTTTTCTAAAGATTCACTTACTCCCCAAAGCCTTACTGTTTGAGGGTAGATCTACCAACTCCCAGGCGTGGTTCTATAAAATGGAGTCAATCTCACTTTTAATCGCTTCTTCCACAAAGGACTTTCTAGTGAAGTCACAGCTTCATAGGAAGTTCGAGGTTCTCCCTCCAATATATAAGTCAAGAAGTCCAGACCAAAGGACTTAGAAGTCCTACTCCTTCTTAGCTCATTTACTTTTTCATCTTGATCATTATCACTAGGATCATCTTCAAGTTCTTTCTCAGAACCTTGATCCTCTCCTCTGATTCGGCAAGGAAACATGTCCTCAAAGAAAGACGCATTCCTTGACTCTATTATAGTATTCTTGTATAAATTTGAAATATCAAATTTGTGCACAAGACACCTATATGCACTACTATTCTATGCATAACCAATGAATATATAATCCACGATTTTCAGACCTATCCTAACCTACTTGGGTGTAGGTACCGCTACTTTTACAAGACACCCCCACATTTGTAGGAAATTATAGGAAAGTTTGTGACCTTTCCATAATTCATACGGGGTCTTGTCCACTTTCTTCCGAGGTATTCTATTTAGAATGTAATTTGCGGAGAGAATTGCTTCCTCCCACAAGTTATGTGGCAACCCAAAACTTATTAACATTGCATTTATCATTCCTTTCAACGTCTTATTTTTTCGCTCAGCAACACCAATTGACTGAGAGGAATAAGGCACTATAGTTTGGTGGACAAAGTCTGATTGAGCACAAATCTCATCAAAAGACGATTTATATTCTCCACCACGATCACTTCTCAAAGCCTTGATCTTTTGACTTAGTTGATTCTCAACTTTATTCTTAAAAAGAATAAATTTATCAATCACCTCGTCTTTACTTTTTAGAAAGTACACATAATAGAATTTAGTGCAATCATTAACAAAAATGATGAAGTAGTTGTTGTCACCATGTGATTATATGATTTTTAAGTCACATCATTGTGTACTAAATCTAAAGGCGCGGCACTTCTTTCAATAGAATGAAATAAAGTCCTAGTCAATTTTACTTCTATACAAGTTTCACACTTATGATTTGGATTAATCTTGAAAGATGGTATGTGATCTAAGTTGATTAATCTACGTAAAGAGACAAAATTCACATGCCCAGTCTACCATGCCACAATTCAGGGGACTCAAGCATATAAGCAAAAAAAGAAGATTTCTCATTCATTTTTTGGATAAAAGTCATTGCGTTGAGCTTAAACATACCGTTCGATATATATCCCTTATCTACATAGACTCCACTCTTGGTCAAGACGACCTTATCAGACTCAAATACCATGCGGAAGCTATGCTTGCTTAAGAGAGACCCCAAGACAAGGTTTTTTACGAATGTCCAGAGTCAGTTCTTTTCCTGAAGTCAAGGCACCAAAACATGTTTAGTCCAAACAATTCACTTTGAAGTCAATAGTCTTATTATTAGGAAACACAGATCCATTGTTTAGTAGTCTACTATTCGGAACTTCATAACATGGCCAGTAGTCTTGTCACTAGGAATCAATAATTTCTCAGCATGTGGTCAGTAGACTTTTCATTACTAGAAATCACAATATCTTGACATGTGATAACTAATCACTCCACTACTAAGAATCACAACGTCTTGACATAGGTTCCGTAGGCTCTTTCATTACTAGGAATCATCATGTATTAACATATGATCAGTAGTCACTCCACTACTAGGAGCCATCATGTGTTAACATATAATCAGTAATCTGTTTATTGCTAGGAATCACAATTTCATAACTATGTAGCCAGTGGTTTAACACCTCCTAGGAACCACCAATTTTCTATCTCTGTGATTAGTGATCTTACACTCACTAGGAGCCACACATTCAAGAAATACTCATAATTATAAAAATTCAAAAAATGCATTCACCTACCTTAACAGGTTGTCTTATCTATGCTCTTAAGCAAAGTCACATAGCAATCACACATGTTAATCCAAGGATAACATACTAATTGCCTCTGATTAATTCAAAGATATTATCATGCAATCTTGTAATTTCTTTTAATCACATTTGATCTCTCTAGATCTTCCTCTAAGAACCTCACAAGTCAGGTGGAACAAGATTTTTTGTCATCACCTCTTGAAGCCATTTCTGAAAAATCACAACATAATTTCACTATTCTGTTTTTTTAGAAACTAAACTTAACATTAGAAAATCCCGAAGTTTGAAATTTAATTTAAAATTAATCTCACCGCTTACCCTAGAATCAAACATGATCAGAAAAGTTTTCAAGAAAACTGGAGGGGTCACACCAATCCCACTTAAGACCCAGTTAACCTTAGACAAAACTTTTAAGAGCATGTTGACTCCTAGTCCATGAGAAAAAAATTTAGAATTAAATTTTTCAATGGATAAACTAGGTTAAAACAAACTAAGTTTACAAAACTTACATGCAATTAAAAATTGCTATCAGAATTACATCACTCATAAATGTTAACCGGTACTCCCAAAACTGAGCTTATTATTTTTGAATAAAAATTAGAAATATTATAGCTAATGATAAAATTTGGTTTATTTTCCCAAAACAAAACACTTTGGAAATAATCAGATTATAACTAAAGACTTTACCGAAAACTTAGTTTTCTACCACTTTGGGAATAAATGGATTAAATCCAAAGACTTCCTCTAACCATAAAGGTTTGAAACCAAATCCATCTTAGCTGTCATTTCTGAATATAAATCAGAAATACTCTTTAGTCAATGCTAAACTTTGGTTTCTATTACATCAAACCAAACCACTTTGGAAATAATAAAATTAATCTCAAAAATTTTCTCTAAATCTGAAGGTTTATAACTTCTTTCGTTCCCCCTTTCCTTTCACTATGGTGAAACTATTACAAAGTAGAAATCAAACTACTACTAGAACACAAGCAACAAATTGCTTCATATATAGAGAAAAACAAACCAATTAAGGATTCTTTTTTGTCCAAAAATTCTTTTCCATACTTAGGTATTTTTGTTCAACAAAAAGGTTAGTAGTCCAAAACTTTTGTTATAATCCCAAATTATATTCATTTGGATTTGTATTTTTTTTTTTTCCATTCCATTTTTCATAGGTATTCTTGTAAAGAAAGTTAGTAGAAAAATAAAACAAAATACAAAACAAATAATTGAAAGAAACTGTAAAAGTAATAAATTATTTTAAACCTCCTAGCAAAATTAACTAGTGAATTAAAATGCTAGACAAGTTACCAAAACTTATAACTCTATATAATTTAATAGCCATGAGTTATATAAAATTATTACACACTAAACATGTAAATAATTTTAACAATTAACATGTAAATCTAGAAATAAGAAAACAATTAGCATGCAAATTACACTAAAAATTAGAAGCAATTAGTATGCAAATTACATTACAAATCTAGAAACTGATAAGTATGTAATATAAACTAAAATCTGAAAACTATGACCATGTATATTATACTAGAAAAGTATAACCTAATTAGCATGTCAATTTTATCTATAAAAAAAAAATTTAACACTCATGAGCATGCAAATTATATTATAAAATTAGGAAACTATGAATCATACTCATAAAATTATACTAGAACCAAATAAGCATGTGAAATATGCTTAGACATAAAAAGCATTCTTATTAAATTGAAAAATTGAAACATAATATTCCATATATGAATTTACATATGAAACTATTTATCTAATATCATGGAAAATATAAAGTTTGTTTTAAGATTGTTGTACAAATTGTGTGAATTAAATAAAAGAAATAGATTCATTGTAAATTAAATTGAAAAAACCACAGAATAAAAATTCATGAAAAATTACATCTTGATGAACAGAAATACATATAACAAATTAAAATATTGAAATGAGAAAAGAAAGCAAACCGAAACCAGTGTGATACTATAATCTCCTTAAAACAGATTCGCCGCCTCACTATGGGTGCTAGAGGCATGTTGGCGTCTATCTTCCAAGATACAATAATTTAAAACCCGCTAACACAGAAACACCTTCTGCTTAGCTCTGGCGAGCTGACAATGGCAGCACTCCCTCACACAGAAAAAATATATTAAAGGAACAGATTGATTATAATATGAGAGCAAAAATTTATATACTCCAACCAAAGAGGAATGTTTCCTTTTATTTATACACAATGGAAAAAAAGGAGAGAACTTAGCTTATTTTTTTGTGATAATATTCACAATGTTGAGCATGCCTTTATATAGGCATCTTTGGCAAGACATATGGCAAGGTCATGTGTACCTCATGATTTTCAAAATCATGTGTCCCTCTTAGTTAGGCCATGTGTCCCTCATATTCTAGGACATTATTAAGGCCATGCGTTCCTCATTGTTAGGCAATGTGTCTCTTATGGTTAAACCATATGTAAAATACTCAATCATCATTCTCAATCTCTTATTCATGAGATCAACTTTATAAGACAATTTCTCATTCAATTCTCAATGATTTTTGGTCTTTTTTTTTTTTTTTTGTAATATAAAGATCTTATTACAAATAATTTAGAACCAAAATCACCAAAAATTCATTTTCCTCCAACAATTTGAGTATCACATATTCAAACCTCGAAAACCACATCCTCAGCTGGAAGCAAAACTACATACATCTGACAAGCAACCTTGTAAACAAACATTTTGGCATCAATAACATATACATATATATAGGAGTATGATTTATTTGTAGAAAAATCACCAGCCCAATGTTATTTTCTTCACAGAAAACAAACAAAACAAAACAAAAAACAAAAAACAAAAAAGACTCCAACTTGTCACAGAAAGAGAGAAATTTGCAGAAAATTTTCATGAAACTCTGGCTTGGCATGGGTGAAGAGCCAGAGAAAAATGGCAGTATTCCTCTCAGCACTAGCAAACTGTGTGATAACAAAAACAGGTACCCCTGTTGGGAATTCTCCACGTCGTAAGTTCGGCTTGAAAATTAAAATTTCCAAGTTTTAGATATCGAATTGGAGCTATTATATCAATATCCAATCATAAACTTGGTTTGTAAATCCCAGTACTCCTTAGATTGCTTCACCATCTCAGCACGTTCCGCAACCAGCCTCTCCTTCCAATACTCCTTGCACCTGGAAATTTTTTAACAATTTGAGTAGAGAGAATTTTTCATAAGGAAATGAAGAAGGGAGGGGTGAGGCATTGACATATTTTCTTCACCTTTTCTTCAAGAACAGATCTAATTCTAACATGTGCACTGCATCACCATATACTCCAGCCTGCATTTAAAAAATAATAATAAACAATAAAAAAAAGAAAAGAATAATGCTAGGTATGTAAAAATGTCAAATGTTATAACAGTAGAAAATACCGAATCAAAAAAAGAAAATATGATATTGTAAACAAACTGCATTGTCTGTAAAGAAAAGCTACTTGAAAGTTAGAATTTTTCTTCCTCTCTCTCTCTCTCTCACGCACACACGCCTGCACGAGGGTGTGCTCACAGGCAAAAGAGAATAGACTTTTGATCAAGTGGTTATTGGGTGCTCTTGCAGCACGGCCACGTGGTGCTCCTGGGTGCTGTGATTGGTGGAGAAGGTAGGGCCCATGATTTTGTGTCGGGTGATTGAGGAACATGAAGGGGTATGGTGTATGATGATTAGTCTTGGAGCATGAACACGTGGCGCTCCACGAGCATTGAATAGTTTTTCCATTTGACCCATAGTTTCCATCCTCAACCATTATTAACCGACACCTCTCAGGTTCAAAGCCATACTGCTTGATCAATAAGTCGTTTTGTTACTTTTTCACTAAAAATCAGGTTCCTTCTCCAGGCATATATCACTTGTGATTAATTTATTTTTTATATTTGCCATATCACCATAATTAACAGTACTACTCACTGAAGCCTCTACCCCTTTCCAACATGCAAGATATTGTTCGTGTCAGCAAAATCAACTATCTTTCACCTTAATCAGAAACAGAGAAATATGAGGACTACAAAAACCGATAAATTTAAAATAATAACACCTGAAGATTGGCATATATTAAATGATATTCTCCAATTGATACAAACGTGGGCAATTAGGATGTTAGAATCTATAAAAGAACACTTAATAGAATTTTTCTGACTTTTATGGGTGTGGTAACCATTGTGGTTGTAGGGAAGGAAACAGAGTTGGAAAATTCAGAAAGAAGTTGATTTTATAAATTATTTACTGTGATGTACGTAGTACTATAAGATTGTTGTATACTACACAAAGGTCTAATATCATTAAATACTAACCGCTCTGCAAACTGGACACTTGGACTCTGGACTTGCAGCTTTGAGACCTTGGAAGATCATCACCGAAGCAGCTGAGCAAGCACATGATTTACAAAAAAGATGTCCGCAGCACAAAGCATAAGGATTGAAAACAAGTTCCTGATGAATCCAAAACAAATCAAAGTGATTAACATCGTTTCAAAGACAAAGGAGGGGGTATTTCATGTTTTTCCCATTAAAATTGCAATTAGAAATGACATTACCAAGCAAATAGCACAACTTAGATTATATTCCAGCTTTACAGAATCTGGAAGCATCATGGTCATTACAGGTTGCGTAGAATGGAGATCATAGGAGAAAAACTTATTGGACTCCCCACCATCTCGTTCATTAAAGTTCATGTAGAACGCTCCTAGTTCGATTAACCAAGGAGATTGCAGTAACTCTATACGTTCAGACTGCATCTTAGATTTAAATTTCCTGCCATTAACAGAGCTGTGTACCTACAAGAATGGATAAAAACGTAAAAATATAATAAAAAGTTGTTGGAAATAACTTTTAAAAACCTAAATATTCACAACAACTAACATAAATGGAGCCATTTATGTTTACCTTATCATATTTCTTAAGGATTTTCCGCATAGCAATAGCATTCATGGTAACATATTCAATCAACATCCGACCCTCTTGTACCATTGCTTGCTGATCATTTGTGAAACAATGACGAAAGCGCAACAAGTATCCTTGCATCCCAGTTGAAATATGAAGATGGAGTATGTGTCTAACTCTTGAAGTAAAGAATCCAGCTATCTCCGAAGCCTCCTTCATTAGTTCAGAAAAGAACATCTGATCACACACTACAATAACAGAATATTGGTCAAAAGAAAACTAAATCAAAGGGAAAAACACAAACACAACAAAACTAAAAACAGACCACCCATAAGAACTATAAACAACAAATATTTATTTTTAATTGAAATAATAGCTAACCCATAATTGATCCAATACCATGCATTTTTATCCCATCTCTGTCCAAAATATGCCAAGCCAGCCAAATCCTATTTAATATATAGCTAACCCATGGCCTTGTGTCACAATCGTATGCTCTCCAACCCCCATAGCAGAGGTTGCGGGTTCAAGCATCATATAGGACGTTGAGGGTCGAGGGGGTGATCCCCTTTCCCCTTAGATTAGGCTAGTGTAGGTTCTAACGAGTGACACAAAATATATAGATATATATAGCTATCTCTTTTCTTTTTTGTCACAATAGGTCTGGACCCAAAACAGTACGACATTTAAGCTATCTTAAACATGCATTGATTGCCCGAGAAAAAACATGCATTGATTTATACATTCCTAATTGGGTTCTAAGATGTCAGGTCCCAACTATTCTCATATGAATCTACCAACCAAAAAGAGGATAAGTTGGTAAAGTGCCGAAAATTAAAGTCCTACATTGACTAAATCCCACCAACCAATGTCATTAATTTGATAAGAGTAGTGCTGTGCAAACAAAAAAACCTCCTACAAAATTTTACCCCATAATTATGTGGTAGCCTTAGGTACTCTCTTTAATATCAAAACCTCATCAAAACGGGCTCTAGTTTCAAGAATGTCATTGCCACATCAATCTTGTGATAATTTTTGTATAAAAATCAAGTTTGTAGATCATTTTCTATTTGATAATCCCATTCGTGCTGGTATTTATCAAATTATGTTATGGTAAGTAATTCATGCTTACAAGAATTTTCAAAACAATAACCAACCAATTCAAAGTTCTATGTATGTCTAATGCCTTTTTGGATTTTGTATTTGTGAAGAGATTTGTAAATAAAAAAGGGAAGGGAAAAGTGAATGTGAGTAGAAGTTATTTGGACAAATTATATCTGTAGTCCTTGTAATTTGCTTCTTGTGTTAATTCGGTTCTTGTGATTCCATTTGCATCAATTTTGCCCTTCAATTTTTCATATTATCTCAATTTAATCCAATTGATAACATTTGTTAAGAATTTTGACAAAAATCAAGGGTAAAATAGCCAATTCAAAGAGGAATAGAGCATTTTAAATTGGAAACTAGCCTCTCAATTACTTTAGTGAACCAACCATCTTGGTCCTTGATTTCAATCAAATTTTTAAAAGAGCGTTATTAATTGACATAATATGAAAATTCAAGGTCAAAATTGAAACAAATAAAATTACAGGGACAAAATCAATACAAGGGGCAAATTGAAGGGAATTTGCCCAAGTTGTTTTGTTTTATTTTATTTTTTTTTCACCTTAGAATTCTTGTCTTTTCTCTCCACAAATCCAAGATCCAAACACAGCCTAAAAAAATGCGGAACATCATTGATTCATTAGATTGCAATTTCACATTTCAATGCTAATTCATCAATAATTAAAAAAAAAAACAAAAATCACAGTCATTGGGAAAATTATTAAGAAAGAGGGCAATAATGAATACAAGTGATAACATACATGGGCAAGCTTCACATTGACAGAACTCATGATGCAATTGGGGGTTTCCATTATCATCGTCATGTCCATTGCTAGGACAAGAGTCCCTCGATTCCCTACAAACCCTGCAACTTTTGAGGACCTTTTTGAGCCTCTTGTACTCAACATGAGAGCACTTATCAAGAAATCCCTCCTGTTCTCCATGGAGATATTCCATGAAAGTCTCTCCAAATTTCATTTTAGCTTCCCCTGATCAGAATCTCTACTCCAAAAACATACCCAGAATCCAACTGAGAATGCACAAGTCACGATCTAATAAATTTTTTTTTATAAATTGGTGATTTCAGACTTGAATTGTATAACCTCGAATTCTATAATAGGAAAAGAAACCAAATACAAGAAGAATGATAGGAGCCCTAGATTGGTAGCTGAGAAAATGGTTTGGTATTGTTATGAGAAAATGTATACAACAAACTGGCGATTTTCTCGGGATCTACTAGGCAACCCGAATTTAAGTTTTTTTTTTATAAATTATTTTTTCTTATTATTTTAGGTTGTTTCCAATTTTTAAAAACTTGATAGGTAGATTTCCCCATGTTAGGCTATGGCTAACAGAATCTCCCACGGTCTATCAAATTTTTTATTAAATTTAAATAAAAATTTAATTAAAATCTAATTTGATATGATACATTTTAATAATTTCATCAAATTTAGTTAGTTGTTCGGTATGAAGTAAATTTTTATCAAATTTATTCAAAAATCGGTTGCCTAGGAGGTTGTTCACTTAGTCATCCGCCAACCATCACCTATAAAATTTGATAAAAGTATAAACGCTCTATTTATTTGATGAAAAAAATATCACTCTCTTCATTTAATATCAATATAATAAAACGGTTGAAACACCGTTTTCATTAATTTTTTATCAAATTTAAATTTAATGAAAGATTTTATGCAACGTTGGAAATGACCTAATCCTTCACTAATTTTTTGTATCTAATTTAATTTTAAATTTGAATAAAAAATTTGATTTGATATGAACTGCTCCAATCAATAAATTTTAATCAAAATCTTTTTACAAAATTCCCTCTTATTCAAAATTTCTTTTTTTTTTAATCATATTTGATGGAGAGAAAAAAAAAATATCACCAATGATTTATCTTTCTAAGTTTTTATCAAATTCAAATTTAATAAAGGATTTGATGAATTCTCAATATGATTAAAAAAAAATATGACTCCTTTTTTATTTGATAAATTTTAAATAAAAGGATTGAAGATGATTTTGAATAGTTTTTCAATAAATTTAAATTTAATGAAATAAAATGCTATTATAGTTTTTTAAAATTATTTTGAAAAAAAAATAGAAATCACTTAGGTAAAAATAAACATTAAAAGTAAATTTTTTGGACTCTGTAATTTTTAACTTAAAATGGATTTGGTATAAGGTGTTTGGTATAACGGTCAAAACAGATTATAGATTATGACTTTAATTAAAAGTTATTAATTTATTTGGTGCAGTTGTTGGATTGTAAATTTAAATTGTTGAGTAGTGTTTGGTAAATAAGTTATGACTTTAATTAAAAGTTGTTAATTTATTTGGTGCAGCTGTTGGATTGTAAATTTAAATTGTTGAGTAGTTGGTAAATAAGTTATGAAATAACTTTTTGATGTATAAATGTCATTTTTACACTTTATAAATTGAATTAACCTTTATTAGTTGTAAATTGAATTAACTTTTATTTTTTTGTTATTAATTACTAGCCCACATTTTTCATATATATATATATATAAACTAGTCCACGGTCCATTTGGGTATTTTTCTAATTTTTTTTAAAAAATAAGGGTATAATCGTAAATAAATTGTTATAATCAGAAACTGATAAAAAGAAGTAGAGATGAGCAGCTTCTCATAATCAATTTTTTGAGTTAAAATAAGTTGCTAAAATTCAAAACTATTTAAAATAAGCTTAATCAAACAATCAAAAATAAAATTTTCAAATCTAAAATCTACAAGTTGCCTCAAAAAGCCACACCAAACACCCCCATTATCAAATGGTATTATATGTTTCCACAATTGTGGAAAGGCTAAGGCTTCTCTTCCATTTGAAATCAGAATGGAACATATTTGTTGGGGTTCATAAGCCCATTACAAAACTTACATTGATAATCTAAACCGTCAATGTGTAAGGTACATTGAGTATTTTATGATGAGATATTGATAGGTATTTGATCAAAATAAGGGTTGGTTTGGGATGTTCTAAAAAAGTAAACTTTTTGACTTATTGGCTTATATGGGTTAGGTTTGATATGATGTGTTAGAAATGTGATATGATTTAAATAAGATGATGTGACTTTAAATAAGATAGTAACTTTTTGACTTTTTGTATTATTTTATGTCAAACCAGCCCTAAATTTGAATCAACGGTAAATGTAATTTTAAAAATAAATTTTTGACATAAATATAATATAATCAAGTGAATCTTAGGAGATGTTATCCAAATTTTACGGCAGGCTACTTTAATATGTAAAAATTATTTTTTAAATTCCATGTTTATTCTTAGGTCATCTATAAGGTAGTCTATATGAAAAGTTGATAAAAACGATACTCTAATCATTTCATCACGTTGGTATTAAATTAAGGAAGTGGCTCGTGTCCAGTCTGAGATCAGACTGAACGGTATTGTTGGGCCTGTGGGGGCTCACCATGAGTCTCATTTGGATAATCTAAATCGTTCAATGTATAGAAATCGTTGAGTGCTATATGTCTGTAAAAAATCACGTTGATCAAATATCGATAGCTATGTGATCAAAATATTTTTTTGTCAACCGTTAATTTTTTTACCGTTCATTTTTTTTATATACAAAACTAGTTTCATCACATAGCTATCGATATACGATCAACGTGATTTTTTACAAGCATATAGTACTCAACGGGTTCTACACATTGAACGATTTAGACTATCAAAACGAGGGCTATGGTGGGCCCCCATGGGCCCAACAACACCGTCCAATCTAATCTCGGACTAGATACAAGCGACTCTCTAAATTAAAGGAGGTACTTTTTTCATCAAATGAAATGAGCATTTATCCTTTTATCAAATTTTGCAGATGACCATTAGTGAATGACCAGGTGGATCTCCTGGACAACCGGTTTTGGGATGAGTTTGATAAGAATTTATTCTAGACCGAACTACCCACCAGATTTGATGAAACCATTGAAATACATCATACTAGATCAAACTTTTTATCAAATTTTTATTCAAATTTAACAAAAAAAGTTTGATAAAAGTTGGAAATGCTCATCCACATCAGCCTCTTCAAATTTTTAGTTAAATTATAATCCAAAATTCACTTTTGCTATTTTAACTAGTCACTTTTTTAGAATTCACTGCATCAAACTCTCTTTTCAAACTCAATCTTATTAAAATATTAAATTCTTATTGTATTTGTTATTTTATTTTATTTTTATTAAATTGATGAGATGTCACCCAAACAATTCTTAAAAAATACAAAAAAAAAAAAAGGTCGTTGACCTGTTGACCGGCCAGATGTCCAATCGGATTTCTAGGCAGACATCCGGTAACACACAAGTAGTGATGAACAATACCTCGCTTGTTGTAGCGAGATACTATAGCAAACACAAATTTTGATGACAAGCTGCAAGCGACACTGATAGAGGTGGTTTTTTGAAATTTATATCGTTAATTTAGCTAAGAAACGATTTTAACGATCCTGATGCTAATGCTCTTATAGGCAGACAAATGTTAACAAGTGTTTCATATGTATTGTTGAGAAATATTTATAAAATATTCTAAAAGTATGTACAAATATTAAAAAATATATTAATTTTAATTAAAATACATTAAATTTAATAAAAAAAAATTTATACCTTTTGAAATTTTTTATCATTTACTTATGCTTTATGAGAACTTGTTGGTACTTTTGCATTTATTAGTAAGGTTGGTTTGCATTTATTAGTACAATCAATTTTCTCTCCATCGTTCCACCTACTATTTTTCTAATTACCAACTACAATAATTTAACCACCTTCTTGAAATCTTATTTTCAAATTCAAAAACTATTTTTGATCAATTTTTTTTTTTATCTTCAATGAATTTTTTACATTTCAAAAAAAAAATATAAAAGTGACTAAAATATATAAAAAGTAACTAAAATATAAAAAATAAAAAATTCAAAAATAATTTTAAAAAAATAAACCAAACAACCAAATGATTTTGGACATTCTTGATGAGTTGATACAGATAAACATTGTGCCAAATTTAGCACAAGATGTAGCTAAGCTAAAAAATAGCAAACCAAATAACAAATCATTGGAGAGCAAAAGGTTGAGCTCCATACTATTTTATAGCAATAGTATGCCAAATAAGCCATTGAAAAAATAAATAAATAAATAAAAAGTCATTGAAGAAGCTCTAACTCACTAAATTACTTTCAATTTCATTTCATACGGACACGTTCTCGGGTTTTGTTTAGTTTGATTTTTCAAATTTTGTTTAGTTTGATTTTTTATAAACTGTTTTTAGATCAATTTTCATTTGTCTTTAGTTCACTTTTTTCATATTTTAGATAATTTTTTCTTTTAAACTTTTTAGATCTATCTAATTTTGTTCGAGTTTTCATTCATTTTTAGTGATTTTTTTTGTTGCTATTTTAGTAAAAAAAAAATTTATATAAAAATTAAAAATATATATTTATATATATAATAGGAAAATCAAACCGAACAAAATCTAAGATCTCAAATCGCATTTTAATTAAGTTGATTGACTATAATTGATTGAAACTATTAATTATGTAGTATCTCCAAACCACTGAATAACTTCTCTTCCAAATGGGTATTCCATCAATAATGTTTGGGAGTTATAATTTAAGAGCTCTAATAAAACTCTAATGATGTGGAGAGTGCTATGTGATATGGGGGCCCACACTCCTCTCTCTATCTCTCTCTACTTTCCCTCTCTTCCACCGCATTAGAGCTCCCATTAGAATTACTATTTTAAAATTATGTATCGCTACTCATTTTCCATTCTCCCTTACCTAATTTCCTCAAGATATCTTTATCTGATTTTTATCCATTAATTCCCCCAAAAGTATGCCCAAGGGGACTCTAAAATTCAAAGTTTAATCACCATGAACTCATCCTTCAATATCTCCACATCCCTTTTGTGCTCCAAATCCAAACTTTTTCAGATTAAA